AAAAAAAAAAAAAAAAAAAATAACACCAAGAAAAAAAGAAAGAAGAAAGAAAAAGAGAAAAAGAGGAGATGATGCAATGCTAGACCCCCGAATGGGCTTAGCTGCAAGGCTCATGAGGGAAGTTAAGTGGATGGCTGGATGGATGGTTAACTAGGATGGATGGATAGATAGACCAACGGGCAGAAAGATAGACAGACAGACATAGATAGATGGATAGACAGACAGGCAGACATAGATAGACAGACAGATAGGCGGACCCGCCCCTACCTGCTCCCAGGAGCCGCTCTCCGCGCGCTGCCACCGCCGCGCTCCAACCGCCACCCGCCTGCGCCCGCGGGGTGGATTTATAGCCCTCGCCCCGCCCGCCGGGAGGCGCTGCCCTCCGCCGCTGCTGTCCGTGCCTTCCCGGCGGCCGCACGGGGCGGGCCACCACCCGTTTCGGGGCTCCGCCCGCCCGTCTCGGCGTCCTAGTGCCTCTCCGCCGCCTTGGATGTCAACACCCCGGCTGCCAGATCTGTACCGGTTCCTACATCTCGAGTGGAAACACTGCCCCTGCACCGGTAACCGGGGTCCCTCTCATCCATCGGGTCGTGCAGTCTAGCTGGGAGGAGGCTGACTTCTACATCTCTCTCCCGGGGAAGATTTGGGTGCAGTGAATGGCTGAGACCTGCCCTGCTTCACAAAGTGTTCACGGTGCCGGGAAAGAGTTTCACACAATTCAATGAGGAGAGGCGAGTTTGCACAAGAGTAGCATTCCTGAGAAAGGCTGAGCAAAGGACTGCAACGGGGGAGGGGGATTCTGGTACAGGGGGTCAAAATCATGTCTATGTGTGCATTACTATATAAAGATAAACCTGCTTACCAAATTCTGAATTGTGAAACTTGCGCATTGACATGGCCACTAGGACTAAATGCTGCTTTCAGTAGAAACAAAATAATGCCGTCATACATTTCTAATGAAGTTCAGAGGGTGCAGCGGGTGCAACAAGTGCTGTGCGAGTTTCCCAGAGAACAGCTCTTTGGCAAGAAGCGCAGCTAATCGCTTATTCCAAAAAGAGGCCCTAGCCTGCTGAGTAAAGAGTATCGCTATATACACAGCTCTGCTGTGTAACCACCCGCAAAGGGGCAGGTTAAACTGTGACAGCCTGCTCTGCTTGTCCGACCTTCTGTAAAGCACACTTAACTCCATATGTGTGATTTCACGTAGCAGCCACTCTTCTATGACAGACTGCTGTGACCCAGACTATTGAAATCCACAGTGTGTTTTGATACTCTGTCATGCAGCAACTTGAAGGGGAAATCAGAAATTCCTGATACTCTGAAACTCTGGTAAACTTTCAGCCTCTGTTTTCTCAGCTATACAATATGCTTACTAAGTTCTGCCTATAAAAGGTTGCTGCTGTTCAGATGCATATTAGCTTCTCTCCTCCTAACCCTGCTTCTGCACCTGAGTCAAAAGTGCTGACTTTGGAAAAAGAAAACTGGAAATCTGGTTCTTTTTTTTTTTTTCACTGTGAAATAGCGAGAGACCATGCTGTGCAGCAGTAACTATGAAATATTAAGTGTTTACTAAATCTAAGTTCTCATCAGGTTTTCTTACCTTTGATTAGTTAATGTCTACAAGGGTGAATAGTGTTTCTAAAACAACAAAAGGAAAGCATTTGTCATTCTGAGACACAGACAGAGCTGCTCTGTGCATGCTCTGTTTTTTTCATCACAAAAGGTCAAACAGTTTTCACTCTCCTTTTACACTGTGAGGCCAAGAAGCCAATGAAACCATGAAAAATCATTTACAACTGAGCCGATTTCAAAGTCAGATCTTCAAAATGAAATCATCTAATAGCTTGGCTCACTGTTGTGGAAGATCTATCAAGATCAGTGGCTCCTAAAGTTATGGAACAAGTGCTAGAACAAAAAGATGGACTTGACTAATTTTCCAAGAGATTAATCCTTTCTTCATCTGATCATGAAACAAAATCGCTCGGAAGCATTCAGTCCTTCATAGGTGTCTGTGTAGTTTGGCCCACCCTTAAGCAGTTTTTCATTCTGCTGTCCTTGGCTGCTTTCTGGGGAAGGGGCTGAAAGCTCAAAAGTTTCAACCGGTATGAACCATTTCATATTCAGAGAACGCAGACTTCTGCAGTAAAAACAAGAACTGAGATTGGAACGAACTGGAGAGCTGGAATGAAGTGTTTTCTTTTGCTTTGACTTCTGCAGTTTGTTATTTAGATCACATGTAGTGCTGGACTCTCAAAAATGCTGGAGACAGAGAGGTAGCAGCCTCCAGGAGTCAGTAGCTGGGAACATGTGTATCCAGATTGAGACCCCTCACCAGCGCAAGCACAGTTCCTACCTATTCTGCTTGTTTATAATAAGAGAATAGCTGAGAATAGGCTGAGAATAACATAGTGATTCACAGGGCCTTTTGAGGGTGGTTGGTGGATTGCAAAAGAAAATGCTGTTGTTCCGAAACCAAGTTAGGAAGTATTTTACTATGTGAAGATGTAATTGCTGAAGTTTGTACTTGGAGAGCCAAATCCTGCCATGTGCCAGAAAGGAACGCAGCTGAAAGCTTGGGGAACTTCATTCCTGTGTCTTCAGGCAGTCCACTTAGAAAACAGGGAAAACAGGAATTTCAAGGCTAAATTTGCTAGGGTGGCACTGCTGACAAAGCAGCAGGCAGTGCCTCAGTGAGCTTTCAGTCTGTGCCGGGCTGCACGACTGCGCACGCTGCCTTCCCATAGTGGCTGAGCATCTCATACACCATTCGCAGTACGTGCAGGGACTTGTGGACTGGAGGAACCACTGTGCTAGGGAGACAGGCCAACTGCCAACCACAGGGGCCCAGTGAAAAGCTAATGAGTGCTTCTACTTTAAATATTATTTTATTCAATAAACCAGCTTTATGCAGCTGGCATGCACTTAGCTTTTTCAAATCAGCATTTCTGCGGGAAAGGCTGCCCAGCCACTGATTTCCATTCCTTTACCATCTAACAGGCTGTTCAGAATTGCCTGAAAGCATCACTGCTCTCCAGTTCTGTCTTTGACTTCCAGTTGAGATGACAACATCAGTCTCCCAAGATTTTTAAAAGTAAATAGGCATTGATTTAGTGTTTCACTTTGTTCTAGTAAGCTGAGGTTTTGCACACCCAATGAGATACGCACAAAGAAGGGAAATGGCATACTTCCATACTTCAAGATTCATGTTTACTACATAATCATATGTGCTGAGCAGAAACCTACTTAAAGTTTCCAATACCTGGAAGTAACGATCTGTCAGAATTTAAAAAACTCTTTAAAACCATTAACTAATCAATGCTTACAAGGCTCCAGGGAAAAGAAGACGGTGCAAATGAAGAACCACTAGATTAGGGACCTGATCCAGTACCCACCGAAGGGCAGCAGTTTCATCTGTCTCAATACTATAGAAAGATATTTTAATTATTTTACTGTTCTCCTTTCCTTGCTATGAAAGCATTAACAGAGGAAATTATTGTGGTTGTGCTGCAGCAGTAAAGAAGGAAAAAGAGTTGAATGAACTTGGAGCACAGCATTATTTTTTAAAAAAAGAAGTCCCTTTCTTTAGCAAGCTTTCTGCACTCTATTTACATTTAAGCAGTGGTAATATTATTAGTCACTGCTAGAGTAACTGGGTGTTCCCTTGTTCTCACTAACAATACAGCTACATGTTTTATGAAAAATATACTTGATGTTTGCTGGTTCATGTAAAAAGAATTCCCTGTGTGACCCATCAAATATCACACCCTCTCCACTGGGAATTTTATTCTACTGGAGCTTTTGTTGTCTTTGGATCCCTTGATGATGCTGACATGGAGCCATACAGATCAGTTCTCCTCCAAAAATTATCCAATGCAGCTTTGAACTAGGGCACTGACCTCAATAAAAATTATAAATAAAATAACACAATGGACTACAAATTCACATGCCCTTGTCACAGATTTCCCTGATATCATTTTTATCCCTACATAAGTACTTATTTCCAGTTTGGAAACTGTTTTTGGCAGGTTTATCTTTTTCAGTAAGAGCATAGATCTGAGATGACTCATTGGGCTTGCAATATGAACTTCCTTCCATTTGCAAAGGAAGTAACACATTTTTTTTCGTATATTTGCTTAGAAAACGAGGGCATTTTTTTCCTAGGTATTTGATGAATGGAGTGGCTAATTTTTATTTTGTTTTGTTTTGTTTGCAAAGGTACGTCCCTTCAGGAGGTTTCTGCTGAAGCATTCAGGACGTTTTGGTTGGAACGAGATGATCTTTCAGATACCTTCCAATCCAAGCCATTCTATGATTCTATGATTTTTTCCAAAAGGAACACTTTTTTGCAGGAAGTTCAGTGAACTGGCATGACATCTATGAGCAAAACTCACAGCAGGACTCAACGGCTGAGTGATGGTCCCAGCCCAGAATCAGCACTCATGCTTTCAGTTCAATGCATGGGAACTACTAAAGTGCCTAAGAACTGGGTTTCAGAAAAGTCAACATGCTGAATGGCAAATATTAAACCTACCCAAGAGAAAGTGCCAAGAGAGGCATTTAAAATAAGTTTTATGTTTCTTTCCACATAGGGTTTTTGGCTCTGAGTCATCTCCAAGGAAAAATACCTATGATCCATCAGTCTTTGCTTTGTCTATTACTGCCTCATAGCCAATAACCCATGGATAATGCAGGCCAGATACCATATACATGCAGTTGAGTTGCAGCACAGCCCTCCTGCTTACCAGGAAAAAATCTCAACCACAGCCTACTCAGTGGTTATATACCCATTGCACAACATTTTGCTTGCAATTTCTCTTGTTGATGCTAATGCATCTTGGAAAAAAAAAAATCGTCAAATCAGACAAAACCAGAAGAATTTAGTTCTGTGGCTCACACATGTCATTTGAAAGGCTGGGAGATTGCTCCATTCCCTGCTACAGTAGGAAAATAGGGCTCAGGTTGTAATATCTAGATTAAAGAAAGGATCCACGAAGACAGCTTTTTCAGTGTGTCTCTTGGGCAAAGATGGAGTCAACAGAGACTCTGAAACTTGCACACAGTTAGACAAAAAGGAAGAAATTCCAAATGGGATTTTGGTTAGGGTCTAGAACAGCTTCTCTTCCTAGTACGGCAGTGGTTTTGCGCGTATCAAGTGGTAAAGGTCTGGATTTGGTGGCAGCTCAGAAGAGTTATCTTGTCCTGCTTTCAGCTGTGACAGAATTACTTTCTTCGTAGTGCCTGGTATGATGCTATGTCTTGGCCTTTGGAGAACAACATTATTGATAATACAGTGATGTTTTAGTTGTTGCTGAGCAATGCTGCACAGAGGCATGGATGTTTCTTTTCCTCAGCTTG